TAACAGGGAGAGTTGAGTTGAGTTTACGGGGAGAGTTAAGTTGAAGTTACGGTGAGAGTTTAGTTGAGATAACGGGGAGAGTTAAGTTCAGATTACAGGAAGAGTTTAGTTGAGATAGAGTTGAGTTGTTATTACAGGGAGAGTTGAGTTTAAATGAGGATACGGGGAGAGTTAAGTTGAGATTACTGGGAGGGTTAAATTAAGTTGAGATTACGGGGAGAGTTAAGTTGAGATTACTGGGAGGGTTAAATTAAGTTGAGATTACGGGGAGAGTTGAGTTGAGATTACGGGGAGAGTTGAGTTTAGTTTACGGAGAGAGTTGAGTTAAGTTGAGATTACAGGGAGAGTTGAGTTGTTATTACAGGGAGGGTTGAGTTGAGATTACAGGGAGAGTTGAGTTTAAATGAGGGTACGGGGAGAGTTAAATTGAGATTACTGGTAAGAGTTGAGTTTAGATTACAGGGAGTGTTACGTTGAGATTACGTGGTGAGTTGAGTTGAGATTATGGGAAGAGTTGAGAGAGAGAGTTTTCGGAGAGAGTTGAGTTAAGTGGAGATTACAGGGAGAGTTGAGTTGAGATTACAGGGAGAGCTGAGTTGAGATTACAGGGAGACTTGAGTGTACGGGGAGAGTTCAGTTAAGTTGACGTTACGGGAGAGTTGAGATTACGGGGAGAGTTGAGTTGAGATTACGGGGAGAGTTAAATTAAGTTGAGATTACAGGGAGAGTTGAGTTGAGATTACGGGAAGAGTTGAGATTACGGTGAGAGTTGAGTTGAGATTAAGGGGAGAGTTTAGTTGAGGTTACGGGAAGAGTTGAGTTGAGATTACAGGGAGAGTTAAATTAAGTTGAGATTACGGGGAGAGTTGAGTTGAGATTACAGGAAGAGTTGAGTTTACGGGGAGAGTTCAGTTAAGAGTTGAGTTGAGATTACAGGGAGAGTTGAGTTGAGATTACAGGGAGAGTTGAGTTGAGATTACGGGGAGAGTTGAGTTAAGTTGAGATTACGGGGAGAGTTAAGTTGAGATTACGGGGAGAGTTAAATTAAGTTGAGATTACAGGGAGAGTTGAGTTGAGATTATGGGAAGAGTTGAGATTACGGTGAGAGTTGAGTTGAGATTAAGGGGAGAGTTGAGTTGAGATTAAGGGGAGAGTTAAGGAAAGTTGAGATTACGGGGAAGTTGAGTTGAGATTATGGTGAGAGTTGAGTTGAGATAAAGGGGAGAGTTTAGTTGAGGTAACGGGAAGAGTTGAGTTGAGATTACAGGGAGTGTTAAGTTGAGATTACGTAGAGAGTTGAGTTTAGTTTACGGAGAGAGTTGAGTTAAGTGGAGATTAAAGGGAGAGTTGACTTGAGATTACGGGGAGAGTTGAGTTAAGATTAAGGGTTGAGTTGTTCAATTTACGGAATGAGTTGAGTTGAGTTTACGGGGAGAGTTTAGTTGAGGTTATTGGGAGAGTTGAGTTAAGTTAAGATTACAGGGAGAGTTGAGTTAAGTTAAGATTACAGGGAGAGCTGAGTTGAGTTTGCATGGAGTGTTAAGTTGAGGTTAGGGGGAGAGTTGAGTTGAGGTTATGGGGAGAGTTAAGTTAAGATTACAGGGAGAGTTGAGTTGAGATTACAGAGATAGTTGAGTCGAGATTAAAGGTAGAGTTGTCTTTACGGGGAGAGTTGAGATTACGGGGAGAGTTGAGTTGAGATTACGGGAAGAGTTGAGTTGAGATTAAGGGGTAAGTTTAGTTGAGATTATTGGAAGAGTTGAGTTGAGTTTACGGGGAGAGTTAAGTTGAGATTACAGGGAGAGTTGAGTTTAGTTTAGGGAGAGAGTTGAGTTAAGTTGAGATCACAGGGAGAGTTGAGTTGAGATTACAGGGAGAGTTGAGTTGAGATTACAGGGAGACTTGAGTTTACGGGGAGAGTTGATTTGAGATTACAGACAGAGTTGAGTTGAGATTTCGGGGAGAGTTGAGTTAAGTTGAGATTACGGAGAGAGTTTAGTTGAGATTACGGGGAAAGTTAAATTCAGTTGAGATTACGGGTAGAGTTGAGATGAGATTACAGGGAGAGTTGAGTTGAGGTTACCGGGAGAGTTGAGATAACGAGGAGAGTTGAGTTGAGATTACGGGAAGAGTTCAGAGATTACGGTGAGAGTTAAAATGAGATTAAGAGGAGTGTTTAGTTGAGGTGATGGGAAGAGTTAAGTTGAGATTACAGGGAGTGTTAAGTTGAGATTACGGGGTGAATTGAGTTGAGATTACAGGGAGAGTTGAGTTTAGTTTACGGACAGAGTTGAGTTGAGTGGAGATTACGGGGAGAGTTGAATTGAGATTACAGGGAGGGTTGAGTTGAGATTACAGGGAGACTTGAGTTTACGTATGACGTCACTTTCTGTTTATTCACTGACGAAGAACATACTTGTTCGAAATCGATATGAATAATAAATAATTGAATGTACGCATTTCAGATGAAGTACGGGACGAAACATTATGAAATAAAGTCCTGTGTGTCCGTAAAATTGTGGGGAAGGTTATTATATGTATTTTTACACCTGAATATCACGAATTTCGGAGAAAAAGAGAAAAAACTTCCTTTTCGGCTGCATCCGTCATCTTGTTTGTTTGGGTAACGAACGGCGTGATTCTCCCCCGTGAGAACGTAAATTCCATTTATAGAATGCAGGAATTAAAACATTCGCGGGACATCAATTTTAATGTGCAGCAAGTAACTGTTGTTGATAATGCAAGTAGCTAAATTATTTGCCTATTGATTTTTAAGTAGCGCATGTATATAGTCCAATTAATTGTACTACGCGCTTAGTCATTGTGGTATCTCCCAGACAAAAAAAAATATCAGAATCTAGCTTAGCACGTCAAAATAGTTTGACTAGAACGGAATGGTAGAGTAAAGCAAGAACTTTTGTTGGCTTTATGTGTTGACCACATACAAGAAATGAAATATTATTTTACATGGCTGAACGGCGATTCCAAGCATTTTTGGAAATGCTAATACTTGTAAATAAGATATTGTTTAAACTAAAAGTAAAACTTTTTGATATCAAAATGGCGCTGTCCATAGAACAGTTTGCTCCATATACATTCTGCATGATTTGGATTTCTTGGTGAAGTTTAATGTCGTCACGTCTCAGTGAGGCCTGCAGGACAGGGCGGACCGTACCAGGGCGGACCGTGACTAGATAGATAGATAGATACTTTTATTTCCTCCAACATTTGAAGAGCTGAATAGGCGGACCATATTTTGGGACGAGGCGGACCGTGATTTAAAAAAAATATTTATATGTGGATTAATGTAACAAAAGTATTAAATTATTGATGTTTTTGTTCTTTGTATTAATATTTCAATGAAAATATAAAAGTAAAAATATAAAATAAGTTTTAAAAGTTCATGTGTAATAGTATATTAATTTGCTGAATAGACACTGTCACTCGAGACGAGGCGGACCGTGATTTTAAAAAGTATTTAAAGTATTTAATTGTGGATGATTTTGGTTTTCTTTATAATATTTCAATCTAAACCCTTCTATGTAACATAACATATATTTTAGAGTAGTTTAATACTTTTTTTTTCAAGAAATTATTTGTAACTGCGTCGACTTACGCAGGTGATAATTAACCAATTATCGGGATATTACAATGTCATTGTTTGTATAAGACGCTAACAATAAATAACAATGATAACGAATTACATCACATTAAAATTATTTGCAATACATCACAATAACAAAAAATGAAGTGACATATTTAAAGAACAAAATTATTTTATTAAAATTTACATTAATAAGCACAGACACATGAAATAAAAAAGTACACTGAAATAGAATTTATATTAAACAATAAGACACATCAAAGACTTACAGTTTGTATTACAATACACACAATGATGACGAATGACGAGTTTATATACAAATTTTACATCACAGACGAGAAGAGACACATTATTTACAATACCAATACAAGATAAAATGACATGACATGATATAAGATACAGATATACGGAAACGAAATGATCAACATGTAACAATTCAAAACATCAAACATATTCACGTACATTGAACATTCATATATACAATGTATATATATATATTTATATATACACACACAGCACTTCTTTCCTTATAAAGGACCGTAAAGTCTGGCACTACTGTTTAGAAATTTCTTTGCTGAAAGAGTCTTATTGGAATATTCTGTCCATAGCTTCGTATGGTTCTTGTGGACTTTGTCGAATTCTTCTAAGTTTGAATTCTTTCACCAGTTTGTAGATCATAGGTATGTCACAGGCTTTCTGGAACAATAAAGTTAATTATCATACTTTTTATATTACTACTGTAATCTAGTTTATATGATAAGTGTTTCGTGTTTTGTCTTAATTACATCGTCCATTCAGCACATGAAACTTGTAAAAACTTATTTTATATTTTTACTTTTATTTATATATTTGCATTGAAATATTACACGAAGAACAAAAACATCAATGATTTAATACTTTTATTACATTAATCCACATATAAATACTTTTTTTAAATCACGGTCCGCCTCGTCTCGAGTGACGGTCCGCCCTGTCCAAAAATATGGTCCGCCTAATCTCGAGTCACGGTCCGCCCTGGTACGGTCCGCCCTGTCTCACGGTCCGCCCTGTCCGTAATTCTCAGCGAGTTCCATCACGGATTTATATTACATCTATCTAATATAAATCCGTGGTTCCATCAAACATAGTTCTTCCTTTTCATGAGAAGGAAGAACAATATACAACAATTAAATACCCACCAGAATACAAATGTATATCGTAAACGTTCAATTGATAAAAAGTGGGATTTTAGGCAGTTTAACATTTTTTGTTACCAGTTTTTGGTCAATGACCATTATAATACTAATACTATGACAATCTTTCAATATATAGTCAATTAACGAGAAAATGAGTATAATGGTGCTCTAAATGAAATTCATCGTGAATACCACAAAATGTTTCTATTGTCATGTGATTGGCGAAAACTAAAATATCCCTTGACGATCCTTATAATCTCTATTTATAGATCTATCGTCATGGGATCCCAATTGGGATTTTAGTGTATTTATATGACACTGTAAGTGGAAGGTTTACCCCTTGTAGACGCGGAAACATGGTTAGTAAGATATTTTAGTTCTCGAAGCGTGAAATATAATAAATCTTTTAATCTTAGTTGGAGAACATTGGCTAGATCTATTCAACGAACCAGTGAATAAAATGACACGTGAGAATAGTTTTTGTTCAGCTTTGATAACTACATGTATGAAATGTAAACAATAATGTACGAATAATGTCAATATTGATTTATGTTATATATTATTATTTATGTTTATATTTGCGACATGTTTAAGGTACTAACTGGTCTAATATTGTACAAATCATTTCTGCGTAGATAGCACTTTATTTGGTGAAAATTGGTTGACAATTAACAAAGATTTGATAAGGCATTGTGGTATGTTCCGCTGGCGAACCTATAATTATAGTATATATGGATGAAATTTTTAAAAACAACTTTCCTTTGTTGTTTTATTGAAAATAAGATATTTTAAAAACATTTTGAGTGAAAAAAATATTTTATTTATAAAAATAAGTGGGTCATGTACATGTATACTTTCCAAGCCACGCACCGACTGCCTGTGTACTAAACTTGACACCCCTACTATAAATTATTTGCGATTAGAGTAACAGAGTGTAATATACCCGTGTGTCACAAAAATTCACAATACGCCATACGGGAAGGAGTCAGGTTTTAAAGTTACCCGCACTCCGTAGCATGCCCATTATGGTCAGTAAAGCTACACCGTATCATACAGAATCTTTTTTGTTATTTTCCGAGGCGTTTCAATTTGTAAACAGCAGGAATAATTTTGCTTGAACGGAAAGAATCAAACACTTGCATCTGCTTAAGTACTTACGCCTACGCCCCTCGTACTAATCGTAGCCCATTTCGAGCATTTCAATGTTATGATACCGGAACTACATATTCAGGAATAAGCTACGAGAGACACGGATTAATACGGCATCGTCACGGAACCCGTATGTCAGTAGCTATCCGTATTATAATGGGTAAGCTTGTATTCTAGCAGTCTTACTATGTTTATGCGCATTTGCAACGGAAACCCGACGTATCCTGCTGTATTATGTACTGGTCCGCACTGTTTAGTACGCAATTAAATTTAAGTGTTTAGGTTAAAGGGATAACTACTACCTTTCTACGTTTAATACAGATATAATTGCGGGAAGCAGATTAAATATAATGATAATTGCCATTTACTGGCTGCAACTTTATATTGAAATGGCTCAGAATGCGGAGGCAGTGGTCGAGCTGCTTGATGACATGCATAGAGGTAAAATATATTAATATCGTACTACAATTCATAAGTAATAGAATAACATTAAATGTAATATTTTACAAACATTGGATCATGAAATTGGAGTAAATATGTACATTAAACGAAGTGTCCAATAAGCCTCGGAACGCTGGCCCTTGAGTGATAATAAGATTAATTAACAAGTTTTTTTTACATATTTTTAAAACATAAACATTCACGATAATTAATGTTATTGTAAAATGAACAGCAAATTTTAAAATTAAAAGATCAACATTTTTCTTTAATGATTACTAGTCCATATCTAATCAGGTAAGAGAAGACAGACGAGATGGTGGACTAGAGAACACATCTGCGGATGTTTCTAAATTCAAAATTTTACTATTTCATGTTTAAATGTTGAATTCTGCTTAAGCCGGTGCTAGGGGGCGTGGACGGTAACTTGCACTTTCCAATAACGTCCATGAACAGGCTCAATCAAACCGAGCCTGCAACATTTTCAATTTTGCCGTGTTGGGCCTTCTTTCGGGATTCTGTATTTATCTATTTTACGAAGACCCCTTCATGTTTAGTATGAGGCGCTCATGGCCGAACTTGTTGAGGATCCGGCGTCTTTCAAGAAATTCACTTTAATCGGACCTGATATGTCGAATCCTCTCCGCCAAAATCATTGAACTCTGCAATTCGTTTTCTAGGTGTTCTTTTTTGTGAGGCATTTTGAAAATGAGCATGCCGTATCTATCCGTGGCAATTCGTTCTTCTCCGTATCAATTCGTTCTTCTCCGTATCAGACCGTACTTATTCGTACTAACCCGTGCTTATACCGTAGCAGACCGTAGTGTATCCGTAGTGCGTCCGTCCTGATTCGTGTCGCTCCGTATCAAACCGTGTCGGTCCGTAAGAATCCGTGTCTCGACATATTTGCGGGAACATTCAATAAATGATAATTGCCATTTACTGGCTGCAACTTTATATTGAAATGGCTCAGAATGCGGAGGCAGTGGTCGAGCTGCTTGATGACATGCATAGAGGTAAAATATATTAATATCGTACTACAATTCATAAGTAATAGAATAACATTAAATGTAATATTTTACAAACATTGGATCATGAAATTGGAGTAAATATGTACATTAAACGAAGTGTTCAATAAGCCTCGGAACGCTGGCCCTTGAGTGATAATAAGATTAATTAACAAGTTTTTTTTACATATTTTTAAAACATAAACATTCACGATAATTAATGTTATTGTAAAATGAACAGCAAATTTTAAAATTAAAAGATCAACATTTTTCTTTAATGATTACTAGTCCATATCTAATCAGGTAAGAGAAGACAGACGAGATGGTGGACTAGAGAACACATCTGCGGATGTTTCTAAATTCAAAATTTTACTATTTCATGTTTAAATGTTGAATTCTGCTTAAGCCGGTGCTAGGGGGCGTGGACGGTAACTTGCACTTTCCAATAACGTCCATGAACAGGCTCAATCAAACCGAGCCTGCAACATTTTCAATTTTGCCGTGTTGGGCCTTCTTTCGGGATTCTGTATTTATCTATTTTACGAAGACCCCTTCATGTTTAGTATGAGGCGCTCATGGCCGAACTTGTTGAGGATCCGGCGTCTTTCAAGAAATTCACTTTACGTCGGACCTGATATGTCGAATCCTCTCCGCCAAAATCATTGAACTCTGCAATTCGTTTTCTAGGTGTTCTTTTTTGTGAGGCATTTTGAAAATGAGCATGCCGTATCTATCCGTGGCAATTCGTTCTTCTCCGTATCAATTCGTTCTTCTCCGTATCAGACCGTACTTATTCGTACTAACCCGTGCTTATACCGTAGCAGACCGTAGTGTATCCGTAGTGCGTCCGTCCTGATTCGTGTCGCTCCGTATCAAACCGTGTCGGTCCGTAAGAATCCGTGTCTCTCCGGGGGCATTTGGTGGTAAATCCGTCGGACTCCGTACTCATACCATTGTGTGTCCGTACTGGAACCGTGGCGGACTACAGAATTTCACATTCCCGTAGTAATCCGTGAACGATTAGACCGTAGCTCTTCCGTGGCATTATCCGTGAATATGTGACCGGGGCATAAAGTTGTACTGAGCGTCATACTATTACATGACATTCACGTGTTAATTATATTCTAGCGTGTATACGCACGTTCTTATAATATTATCTTTACCGTGACTTTATGTAAACCACAGTCCCTGAACTCCTCGAATCAACTCGAATCTTTGAATTTGTTGTATCGATTTATTGCGGGTTGGTACAATGACATGGTTTAAAATTGTGTTTTTACACGTAGAAAATCGCGTAGGGATTCGGGTTACGCGATCGTGTCCGACCTAGCAAAATTACGATATTCTATCCGAAATATCGGTTTGTTGTTCAAAAACGGTATAAGTGGGGACATTAATGTTATTGTCAACGTCTAGTGATGTCATTTAGCTGCAATTTGATATATAGCTTTATATGATTTACGTAAAAATGACTTTGCAATTTTGACTTATACTGGACTAGTGACATTCGGCCGATTTGGCGAGTTCAACCCCTTGTCTATATATTATATATACAGTATATATTTTTTTTCTAAAATTACTTTTTTTACACTATCCCAACACTGTGCTGGGTCCCTGTGATGTAAACAAAGGAGAAAATAGGGTCTATATTATATTTCACTGTGATTTAATGATCGCAAGATATGTATTTCCTTAAAAATTTAAAACTCCCTCACAAAAAAGAATGAATTCAGTTCAACATATTGACTGTGTTAAAAATTAAAATGAATGAATGAATGAATGAATGAAAATGTTCGATAATTTCAGAACTGATATTTGAAATGACGTGGAATTTCCAGTGGTTTTGTTGTGATAAAGCTAATGAAGCTGCACTAGATGACATTGCTGTTGTTGTATCCAGCAACCATGTGGAGGAAATGTATGTGACTGTCCGTCCTGAACTATTACAACAGAGGGACGGTGTTACTCTTAACCAGTGTGTTGAAGCAGTTATTGATGAAGCACACGGACGCTTGAGTAAAGATGAAAGGAACGAACAACAATATCTTGATTACCATAAAGAAAAATCGACTGTTAATGATCAAAATCAACATCTTGATGTGTATGAACCAAATGGAAACTTACGTAGATATGAAGAAAATGTACACTACAATAAAGGTGAAAACATATGTATAAACAAGGATGCTGTTCACAGACATGATAAACCTTGGCAAGCAGACGACCTCTTAGACAGTTTCCTAAGTTGCCTACTGGTCGAGATCAAGTCAAAATTATCTAAATCTGAATTATATGATATTAGAAATGCAGTGGAGAATTTAGTATCTTATTTATTAAATAAACTTGAACAAATTGAACCAGTTTTGAGAGTAGGTGAAATAATACCTACTGGAAGTTGCTATGATGGCACCAAAATATTACAACCCGACGAATTTGATTTCCTTGCTGTGATAGATTGTCTTTCCTTAAACAATTTGACGACTGCTGTCAAAGCCTCTAAAGAATTGTGTTCAGCCGACGGGTATGCACACGCACTTTGTGATGAAAGATCACCTGACGGGTCACGTTTTATAGAACAAGATGACGACAATTGTGTTGTAGCGTGTCGGAGATCAAATTCATTACGAGAATTATTTCGAGACCGTTTTCACATGCTTCTTCTTAATGAAATAAACAATACATATTCATTGGTAAATCATACAGGAGTGTTGAATTTAGAGGGGTTTTCAATTTCAATCAATGGTCCCCAATGTAATGTAAAAGTTGTGTGGAAACCCAAGGATGATCCAAATAGTCTCCCAGTAGATATTGACATTACCCCCGCGATCAAATGTAGTTTAAAGAATGTGTTGGTTACCTCTGACGTTATTAATGATGACGTATTCAAATTGATGTCAAAACATCAATATTTATACCTCATACCTCGGCCACAAAGATCCTGTAACAAGTGCTTTAAAATGGTCTTCCCGCATTCTGACCAACATTTGGTGACGACATTAAGCGAGTCGCACAGAAAAGTGCTGTTAATTTTGAAATATCTGGCATGCGAAATGCTCAAGTTCGACTTCCGGTTAAAGACGATTTTTAATTCTTTTACTATGAAGACGGCGTTGTTGCATCATTCGTTGAACTGTAAAGAAAGTGACGGTCAAAGTGTTAGCATATGTTTAAATACGACCCTTGATTACATGAAACATCAACTAGATAGACGAGTCCCGGAAATGACAAGTGTATTCACCGTCCGTCGGAACGTCTGGAAAAATGCCGAAAATTACGAAATAACTCTAGCACGTGTCCTTATTAGGGATGTGGCAGTCGTTTTCAATAAGATTAATTGTGGAAAATTCAAAGACTCTAATTTTGCCATACTTAAACGTGAACTTTTATTTGCATGTTCAAATTCTGTACCATTAAGTATTGTTTCTAATAATTAGTCATAAAGTCACAACATGGAAGTTTGTTTTTATCTCAAACAAGAAGGAAGTCAATCATGTTCGGCAAACTTTATATGGGTCACCATTGTGTGCTCAGATTTAAAATTTTCAATTTGTATGTTTCCGTTAATTTATATTTAAGAAACATTTATCACGGGGAAGAATCACGCCATTCGTTACCCAAAGAAATAAGATGGCGGATGCGATCGAAAAGTAGGTTTTTCCCTTTTTTCTCTGAAATTTATGGTTCTATAGTGTAAAAGTACATATAATAACCTTCTCCACAATTTTCCGAGCACACAGGATTTTATTTCATGATCTTTTGTCCCGTACTTCATCTCAAATGGGCGTCACCAGATCCGAAGCGAGAGCATTTTCCACCGGTTTGATCGTGGTAACGTACAGCGTCTTCTCTAAAATGCACTGTTTCTTTTACATATATGTATTTAAATTGAAACCGCTAACTTTAAAATGTTGTAATATGTCGTCATCTAAGCATTTATGCCTATTCTGGCTAGAATAACCGCTGTAATATTAATATCGGGGCATTTTCCGGAAATGATAACATATGGCGCACAAAATATCAGTGATAACGTACGGCGCATTTTTCTACTTGGTGGATTTCCATTTGTCCGGTCAGCTAATAATGAATTAATTGTATGTAGGAAATGATAGGTATCTGAAAAATTGTTTGTCAGTTCAGAAATAAATAACAATGCTGCACAATTGGGTATAAATATCTTTCTAGCTGGTGGCGTAATAGATATTCGTTGTTAATAAACTAACCTCTATCTACCAATTAAAACACACATGTACAGTTTGAAAATATGTTTGTATTAAATGTAGAATGGAAAGAAAAACCTCCACTTTCAGGAAACATTGTATATTGTTGTCTTCTATTTAATTTTCGCAATTATGGTCGTATCCCTTTATCAGAATGAAGAAACACATTCAGCAGAGCAGAAATGTTAAAAAGGTACGGACGACTAGACATATTTTCTTTTCAAAAGAAAAAGTCTAGTAAAATCATTTCTAACAAATTTAAGGTAATCTTAATATTTGAACCGCGTCAAACATAAACAAAACAAAAAGTGATTGCGGCTAGCTTACATTCAAATGAGATGACCCTGTGTTTATTTAATATGGTCGCTCATTGAAAGAAAAATACATAACAGAGAATAATGAATGAGTGTATGTTCTATATTGAATTCATTGAATGAGTTAGAAAATAATGTTATGCGAAAAAGCTCAATAAATTTAGTAAATAAGAAATTTCCTGTTTATTTGACGGGCGGTTAATATTAAACGCTATCATTTAGTGTGACGTTGCGCCACTATGACGTCAGATATATTTGCACGACAAAGCCATGCTAAACAGTTTTTTTTTTTGTTGTTATTTTATAAATAAAAGAAACGTGATAATTTGATCAAAATAATTACATGCAATTCATGAACTTTCCTATCGTATTCTGGCTTTTTTTATTCTGACGTTTTTGTAAACAATCAATTTCTTATGAAAAACTTTATTTGTCATCCAATGAAAACACTGTATTTCTGTGCGTTAATTTTCATAGAAGAACAAAAGTGTCCAGCTCTATTTGTAATCCAATGAAAACGCTGTATTTCTTAAAAATACTTTGTGTTAATTTTCATAGAAGAACAAAATTCGATACTATATCAAAGTCCGTTCATAGTAGCCTACTATTTTTCATAGTGCTTCATAGAACCGTGTTCGTAAAAATAGTTAAAGTGAATATTAATGAAGTCAAAAAGTTTGACACTAAGTATGTTAGTATTCATCCATAGCTGTTCTACAGAAATTAGAAACATTCTCCTGTCGATATTGCTCCCGTCAAAGTTTCTTATTTCTGTAGAATAACACATGTACATAGATATTTGAAATTTGGGATCAAGTTTAACTTTCGGGGACACTTTGTATATGCTAGTGTTCATCCCTGCTGTTCCACAGAATTTAGAAACTGTGACGGGAGCGATATCGACAGGAGAATGTTTCTAACTTCTGGAGAACAGCTTCGGGTGAATACTAATATACTTAGTATCAAACTTTATTTGGCATCATAATCACTCACTTTATTACGTCATTTTGCGGTTCGATGAAGTACCATGACTATGAACGGAATTCGATATAGTATCGGCTTTTGTTCTTCATTATTTTCAAGAAATACAATGTTTTCATGGGATGAAATATATAAAGTTGGACACTAAATCTAAAATAATGCAATCGGAACGTCCTCGGCTATTATCTATAATAACCTCGGAAACAAGTAGTTCTACCACGTGATTTCAGATGAAAACAAAAACAGAGTTTGCAATGTAAAAAGAATGTATATATTTGAGAGCCAAAGGAAAAAATGTATGTTTCGGTACAATTATGATTGAATATATTTCTTTCAACACTTTTTTTATTGAAAAATGCCCAGTGATGGACAATTTTAAAAAACCGACTTAATGTCAACAGGTTTGCATTTTGAACTTTCGGTTTCTTCAACCATAATAATAAATATATAAATAATATATTGTTTGCTTTTTATGTATGAATTCACTTATTTTAGGTGGACCTTTACTTGATATAATGGGAATAAACTTGTCAATAACTCTCAGCATTAAATTACTATTTGTTAACATATTTAGTTTCTTAGTGTAGGTTAGACCGAAATACCGCATCCGTTCTTGTGTTCGAGGTCCTTATCCGAAGACTGACGGAAAGAGCCGAAAAGTTGCGATTGAAAATAAATAAAATTCAAACCACCAAAGGTGGGGTATGCTGCTCTATATTCGAGTTTGATATGCAAGAAAACATATCACTTGTGATTACGTATGGATTTAAATATCCATCTCTCGTGCACCTGCAAAAGCAAGCCTCGTTACAGCACAATGCGAAAGCGCCCCCGGATCAGATATTTCTGTCCGATACAAAAAAAAACACAAGACAGATATTATTATGCAAACACTAAATAATATTCAGTTTCTTTATTTGGTTCTACACATTTTCTTATGTCTGGTAAACATAACTTTTCTATTATATATAAAATCCATTTAAGCAGAAAAAAGCGCCGTACGTTATCATTGATATTTTGTGCGCCATACGTTATCATTTCCGAAAAATGTCCCGGTATTAAAATTAAAGCAGTTATTCTAGCCAGAATGGGCATGAATGCTTAGATGACGAGATATTACAACTTTTTAAAGTCATTGGTTTCAGTTAATGTACATATATGAAAAAGGAACAGTGAATTTTAGAGAAGAAGCCGTACGTTACCACGAATCAAACCGATGGAAAATTCTCTCGCTTCGAATCTGGTGACGCGCATTTCAGATGAAGTACGGGACAAAACATCATGAAATTAAATCCTGTGTGTCTGAAAAATTGTGGAGAAGGTTTTTATATGTACCTTTACACTAGAACACCACAAATTTCAGAGAGAAAAAAGGGAAAAACCTACTTTTCGATCGCATCCGCCATCTTGTTTGTTTGGGTAACGAACGGCGTGATTCTCCCCCGTGATTTATGACGATCGTTGCACTGATATTGATAGTGTCAGATATCTGTTAAAAATCATAGTGTTCCAAGCTTATCCCGGATCAAACCTGACACTTCTATGTCCACCACAAACCGCATAATTTATAGCCAATGCACATGTTAGTAATCATTTTTCATATTGTTTGTTATTAACTATATCGAAATAAATGGACTGTAAAAATACAAAAAATACAAAAAATAAACAAATTTAACAGCTCAAAAGGAGCGAACTTAGTCCTTGACCTATTGTTTTTTGGCGAAAGCTGAAAAGACTGATGAACCCTCATTAAGCATAGATTCATGCTTCGATTTACAAGACTTCAAACATAACTATATAAACACTTATTTAATGAAATTGAATATTTTGATTTGATATCAATTCAAGAATAACATTGAGTCATTGACCAATTCAAAGTAAAATATTTCAATTCAGTTGCTAAATGTCAAAATATGCAATATACTAGTATGAAAAAGCAAGATTAAAATCGATGTCTACAAAAACAATAAATTTCAGTGAACGTTTATTTTTCAAGAGACATAAATTCGGATTGACTTTTTTGTTCCATCTTATTTGTCTAAATTAATAATTTCAGGTGTGTTTAATATTATATGTAGTGACAAACTTTTTTCTGTTCGGTAATGGTCCTCGATCTGATTTCCTTTAAATGTGTTGCAGTTTCAAGGTCATCACGCATGCATGCTTGATTTTTCTTTTGTTCTTTTTTATTGAAATTATTTATGAAAAGTTACTACACATCAAATAATTTAAAACGAGAAAATTATTAATTGATATTGGAATATACAAATTTATTGTTGTTCTGCCATTTTAACACTATGATTAATTTTCCTAACACATATACAATAATGATATATAGATGTACAATACTGACAGAAAACACAAATGAACAAACAATGTCATTAAATTTTATTTTCATTCACTATTAATTTTTTAAATGTGTATGTATATAAATGTATACGTAAAACTCTATACATAACCACAGTGAGTCGTGGTGGTATTGGTAGTTTTCACTCCGGATCACGACAGTAAGCCACATTGAGTTTACCAGACCACAGTTCAACCACAGCATCCTTCCTGGGCAGACTGTCAAGCAGAGGTACATTGCAAATAACCGTAGAAATGATTTGAGCCGCGTCACGACAAAACCAACATAGTGGGTTTGCGACCAGCATGGATCCAGACCAGCCTGCGCCTCCGCGCAGTCTGATCAGGATCCAAGCTGTTCGCTTACCAACTCTATTACAAGTAGAGAAACTGATAGCGAACAGCATGGATCCTGATCAGACTGCGCGGAGGCGCAGGCTGGTCTGGATCCATGCTGGTCGCAAACCCACTATGTTGGTTTTGTCGTGACACGGCTCATTTCATGATCAATCACAACGAAAGTGACCTGCACCGTCCGGGAATCGAGCCCGCTCGCCCGATTCACAGTCCAACGCTCTATTGAAGTAACTAAGTGTAACCAATCAGAATTATATATACATAACTACAGTAAGTTGTAGCCAATTTTATCTTCTTCTTTTTTTTGTTCCTTTTTTTTTTACATTACTGTATTGTCACGCTACACGTTCTAGTTTTTTTGTGTGTAAAACTTTCAATATTGATTGTAGAAAAAAGAAAAGACAAAAAAATAAACTGAATACTTTAAATATTGCTACATTACACGAATCATTTGGAAGTCAGGTATTGTAGTCTTCAGACAAGTAAAAAAAACACACCATTTAAGTAGCTCACAGGAGTCTCCTTTTATGAAAGAAGATGTACGTATTATTTGAAAGAAATGTTATTCCTCTATTAAAAAAGAAACTGAATATGTTAACGTATTTCGTATTTATTATGGAGTTCATAAGAAATGTAAGATTCTGATTGATCACATACTGTACTGTATATACAAACATTATAATATGTAAAATCCCTTGAAGAAAGGCTTCTATAAAACATGATACATCTGTATTTCAATGCTCATTCTTATTTACAATCACTGACACTTTCACTGTTTGAAATACAAAAATACATATTTAATTCTTGTCGTTTCTTTCGTCATTTATAACCATCTTAGGTAAATTTATACACTCAATTCCGTGTACAGACCTGCAAAAAGATAAAATGTAGAATGACCAAGATAAAATGCATTGAATTATAAATTTAAACGCACGATTAAGTTCGTATCATAAACTAATGTCTATTTATATATTAAACATGTGTGTACAAAATCATAAACATGTACAAAACCAGATACAACATTGCTGGAATTTCGATGTGATACCAGGTGTGTTGTTTATCACGAGATCCGTAGAACAGTGAGTTTTACCTGAGCCCGCAAAGCTATTCCTTTCATTACCTGTTTACATCAATAATGACAAATAGGGATATCGATAATTCTTATATAAAAGCCTAAATCTGTTCACTCATATGTTATGCGTTTAGCATAATAGCGTAGTGGAGTGTTCGCTCTGTGAGTGTAGAGACACTGGTTTGAATCCTGGATAGACATGTCTTTATTTATTTTTTATTTATTTATTTTTAGTTTTTTTTAGGGTTTTTTTTTACAACGAACTGG